CATAAATCCCTGGTGCGGCAGAGTACCATCATCCTTTCATACCCTCCAAGTGTCAACAGAGAACCGTCGTCCTTTCACACCCTCCAAGTGATGGCAGAGAACAGTCATCCTTTCACACTCTCCAAGTGTCAGCAGAGAACCATCAACCTTTCATACTCTCCAAGTGACAACTATGAACTGGATCATCTCCAAAAATCTTCTCTCGAGCAACTAAAAAGAAGAAGGAAGAGAAGTGATACAAACACAAAAGAGATTCTTATATTTGAGTAACCTTGTGAACTCTTCACACTTCACTTACAAGAACTCTCTCTCAAAAACTCTCCCAAATCACCCTTTCACTTGCTCTTAAACAAATCATGAAGACAAGACTTGTCCAAGTTAGTTTCTAATAACCTTTTATATGAAAGACATGAAAATCATCAAAAAATTTGAAAATTTCAATTTTTACCATCCACGATCATATAATATGATCGACAATCATCCCGAATAAACATATCAAAATTTTCTTATATGATCCTATATGAACTATTTTTGTATAATCCTATCATACAGTACGATATATACATTATACAATATGAATAGTTATCAAAAGATTTGCTATTCATCTGGACAAAAAAATACCCCATAATTTCATTCTCTGGACATCATTTGTACGACCGCCAGATCGTCCCCTACAAACATTTCAAAAAAAAAATGATATGTTCGTATGGACAAAAAATGTTCCCCATAATTTCGTACTATGTACGTCGTATATAGGAACTCCAGATCATCCCAGATGAATAATTCAAAAAAATTTACCTGTTTGTATGGACGAAAATGTTTGCAACATTTTTGTACTATAGACGTCATCTATACGAATCAAACTTAGTATAGTACAAATAATACTTAGAAAATTTTCCCCGTCCAAGCTTTGATTAACTGCTCGCTGGAGGAAATAACTGAACAAATTATCCCGTATGAATTGAAATCGTATAGTATGATTAGTTTAAAAATTTACAAGTTTTTAACACTCCCCGGTGTGTGTGTGCATGGTTACTCAATTACAATCATACTCTCTCATACTAAATAAAAGTGTAAAATATAGATACCATTTACAATGAATCATAAACTAATGTAATTTGAAGTCGTTTACAGTTTGGAGTATGATTTCCCTAAAATGTTAGTACACACAAATAATAAAAAAATACATCAAATATATGTTAGGAGAAACATTAATCAAAATAATAATATTTGGAATCATAAAAAATATATGATATGAAAGTATAGTTATGAAAACTAAATAGCAATAATCTCACCCATTTTGATGATAGCAAAATAATTCTTATTTGAATTAATATTTAAATAAAAAATTTCTCCTTAGCTCTCCCTAAATGAATGATCAATGTAAATCTAGGAT